TTACTAAGTTGAATCTAGACGTCCAGACTTGACTAATTATCACAATCATAATCATGTGCGTAACCCTCCTCGTCTTCTGCATCCACCGAATCCCCCCGCGCCGTCTTCAGGCAAAAGTTGACGCGAACGTCACACACTGTGACTTCGTGACGTTACTCAACCCCACTTCCACCCCACGACTTGCCCACCACCACCACGATCGACAATGCCGACGTTGCCACAATCGCCACCGTCGCCTACAATTACCACCACAGCAACCACAGCTTTGCAACACCACGCCGCCACTATATAACCAAACGACGGAACACGACCACAACGGAACATGACATGACGCAACACAACCACAACATGGCAACAACAAGGATGGACGACAACGACGATGTCGGATGTGTAGCCAGATGACGAATGGCGAGATGTCGCCGTTCGTCGTCGTCATCTACTTGGTGAGCGCCCACCCATCTCACCCCTTTCGTTTTCTGACAAATGCCAGGTGCCACGTCGCCAACAGCAACGTGGCAACCAAACGACGGACGACGAAATCTCGTCGTCCGTCGTTTCTGTTCATACTGACATGGTGAGCACCGCCGTCCCTCGTTCCCAACCAACACGTCTGCTGCGACCTCACCACATCACCACGACACACGACGCAACTACACCACGACCACGCCACTACGATGTCCCACGACACCCCGCAACCCCCACCACTGCAAACAACGACCAGCGCTCACGAAAAAGAACGACAACCAGCACACGCCACGGCCCCAGAGCCACGAGCAAGCCACGCCACGTCGCAGTCAGCGACATGGGTATGGGACACGTACGGACGAAGGGATGACAATGACAATGATGTCGTCGTCATCATTGTATGGTGAATGTCGTGAGCACGCCCCGCCTCTATCACCTCCCTCATAGCTCACACAACCCAGATGCAAGAACGACGTCAATGGCCAACAAACGAACGGACGACGACGAAGACACCCCGAGCGCTGACCACCATGAAGACACCCTGAGCGCCGACCACCATGAAGACACACTGGGCGCCCACCACCACGAACGAAGATGAGTGCCCACCAACACCACCTACAAACGGTGGCGAGGCCTCAGCCATTGCCCATGACTTCTTCCCCCTCCTCCCTCCCCCATCCCTCTCTCCCTGTCCCATTCCCTCACTCACTCACTCTCCCAAATCCCTACTCCCTCTCCCTCTCCCTCACTCCCTCTCCCATTCCCCCACTCCCCCCCCCTCTCCCTCACTCCCTCCCCCATTGCCTCACTCCCTCCCACTGTCCCCCCTCTCCATCACCTGGAGCACTCCCCCCTCC